TTATTATTATTATTATTATTATTATTATTATTATTATTATTATTATTTATTTATTCATTTATTTATTTTTTTATTTTATTTTTTTAGACCTTTATTTATACCGGTTAGTTCCCATTGAGCCTCAAAAATTCATTGACAAGAGAGACCTGTTACATACAACATACAACATACAACATACAAGCAGACGAGAAAAAGAATACGAGGATGGAGGAAGCCAAAAAAAAATCATGTCTCACACCATTTCCTGGCTGGGAAACAGTGTAAAAGATGCAAAAAAAAGACAACATAAAGCTGCAACATACAATGACATCATAATACATTTATGCATAGAGGTCGACAAAGCCGGTGAGTTATCCATGGACACTCCAGAAAGTTCCAAAGTTCTGATAAGATGGTACAGTGTCTATCAGCACCATGGTATCTGATTAGAGAAAGCAGACCAGCATTAAGCTTCTAAACCCCGACTTCAACTCTACAGAAAATGTTTCAATTTTGGTTTAAAGCCAAGTGCATGTCAGGAAACCAAACAATGCTTCGAAGAAGAGTGGTAAAGTACCGTAATTTCCGAACATACATAAGTTTCTCAAGCATCTTTTTCTCTTTTGATAATTCACTTGAATTCAGTTTATTTATACAGTGCCAAGTCACAACAGAACTCACCTCAGGGCACTGAACAGAAACATTCATATACATAAAAAATAACATTAATTATCTGAGGAGGTGACTGCCTTGGGTCTTAACTTCGTTGCAGACTCATCTGAGCAAGCTTGAAGGCGACAGTGGAAAGGAAAAACTCCCTCATATGGAAGAAACCTTTAGCAGAACCAGGCCAAGGACAAGCAGCCATCTGCTTCAACCGGCTGGGTTTGCACAGAACAGATACACAATGGCAGATGAGAATTGCATGTTAAGAGAATAGTATCAAACGAAAACTATTCATTTGTAACTATTCATTTAAGGAAATTATGTCAATGTGTCATCCAGTAGTCTAAGCCTGGTTCCACAAGAGAGGAGCCTGATAACTGAAAGATCTCCTCTCATTCTGCTTTAGGAAACTCAAGGAACTGCGAGTAAACCTGCAGTCCGAGAGCAAAGTGCTCTGTTTGGAAAATATGGAACAATAAAATCTGCAATATAAGATGGAGCTAGGTTGTTGAGGGCTTTGTAGGTTAGAAGGAAGAGTTTGAATTCAATTCTGGACTTGACAGGGAGCCAATGGAGAGAAGCTAAAGCTGGAGAGATATGATCTCTCCTACCAACTCTCACTAAAACTCTGGCAGCAGCATAGGGTAAGGGTTGTACTCAAGTACATTGTACTATACAGATTTTATGACAGCTAATCAAGGTATAGTTGACTTGTGATAAAAGTACAAGATGATGCAGTCAAGACAAACTCATGGTGCTCAGTGTATAAAAAGAAAACAAATATTGATAATGCGATTTTCAAGTATGACTCAGATAAAGTTCAGCCTAGTTGTAAGTCAGTGTTCTACCTTCATAATATACTGGTTCTATGTTGTGTTATTAATCCTATCAATTTAGTAAATTTTACTTCAAACAGCTGGAAAAGGCATAGTTTTGAGTATACTTTTTCAAAAATTTCTGGGGAGGCATGCCTCGGACCCCCCTAGAACTGCTTTGCTCCACAGGCAATCACTAACAGGTGTAGATGTCCTTCATTGCCATTAGCAAATATTGGCAAGTACCAGTATTGTGAAGTCTTTTGATAAGCTGTTTCACAATCATTTCAATTCAACCTGGTTTCTACAAAAAACAGTAATATCAAAGACAAAAGCTATTAGCTTCTTGTGGGAGTGTATGTAAATGAACTGAAGCTTACAAAATTGCGCAGGGGGCACCACCTCAAATCTTCCCTAGGGCGCCAAATTGTCTAGTGCCGGCTCTGTCTGACAGACTTTAGTAAACATCCTGGCATTTTGTCCATTTTCTGCTGAAGTGAGCAAAAAAAGAATCAAACTTTAATGGAACAACAAAAAGTTCTCTTACTATGGAATCTCTCTCCTCCAGGACCTGGTCGTACTCGCTGAGGGAAGCCAAGAAGATGAGGGAGGTGACGTTTTCAAAGCAGTGGATCCACTTACGACGCTCTGATTTCTGACCACCGACATCCACAATTCTGTCAGACAAAAGTTAAAACAGTATTCATCGAAGTAAAGAAATTATGTAGCACTCAATACAATAGAAATATCAAAAAATGTGGCGCGTTAAGCATTTATATGGATTTTAAATTTTTCATTTAGGGGTATACATTTTCTATGCAGATTGTCTTACTAGCTGCCATAATTTCATTTGGAAATGCAGTTTTCTATAAGGGAGTTTTAAAACAGAAGAAAACTTCCCAGCAGGAACTTGGTACAAAGGCAATTAGAAATATGATCCAACTGCGTCCAAACAGGCGTGGGCAGACAAAGAAGCTGCAGCAGTCAATAGTATTTGATTCACAGTGCAGAGAATAGTGCGGGTATTAGATTTGCCCCGTGAGAGGCTAGTGACGTGAGGCTTGGTCACCTCAGCGTGATGTTTTTGACGGTGAAGGAGTAGTCGTGGATGCCCGTGGTGGGGAATCGAACACGCAGCACGTCCTGTTCCGTCGGGATGTAGTGCTGGGCCGAGATACGGTCCAAGTTATTCATGTAACTGAAAGGAAGGAGACATTTTTAGCTCAGAGTAAAAAGAAATCTGTTTTTGATAGTACAGGATATGTCTAGTTATATTGCTTCCGTTTACTTTCCATTAAACCTCCGCCGTGTAAAACAAACTGGACGTGTGATGAAGCAGTGATGAGAAAAAGACAAACTGTGATTAAAAACTCAAGAAGAGGGAGGCGTGAGCCCACGGCAGTGTGTTTGCAAACAGCACCTTTATGGCTCGTGTTGATCCAAGTTGTCATTAGCTAATGTTGACTGACTGACCCTTATTGAGCACACATCACGATGACTGAGCTGCTGGGTAAACACCATGAGGAAAGAAAGGCAAGTTTGTCCTAGGCTTTGTTCTGCTAGCTGACGATCACACCTCCTATACATTACGTAAAGATTATAAACACACACCTGTACGGTAACTCTGCATTGTGACATTTAAACACTGCTGGCATACTTTCAAAGGATGATTTTACTTGTTTTAAGGACAATTGGCTATTTAAGTCAAACACTCCCAAATCACATGGTTTCAACACAGCATTAAGAACCAGAGGTGCATTTTGTTGTACAACACTGGTGTACTAATACAGAACATGACCAGAATACTATGCTAAAGGAAATGTGGTTTATGTACTATACATCAGTAAAGCTTTATTTCAAATAAACTATCTGTGAAGATGCTTAAAAGACTGAGCTTTGTGTTGTTTCTACTCTTAACTAGGCCTGTTTAACTAAACTGTTCGGGGGGATGCACCAGACATCCAGCAATTCTTGTCATTACATAAATGTCATTGACAATTTAAATCTAGTTTTATTTTAAATTAACTCATCGGTGGGAACAACTGAGCTCACCGACTGGTCATAGGTAGCCCGCGGGCTGCCAGTCGAATTCATTTCAATTCAGTTTATTTATATAGTGCCAAGTCACAACACAAGTTGTCTCAGGGCACTGAACAGAAACATTCTCATACATATAAAGTCAGTTAATAATGTTTTTTATCGGAGGATCCAACGGACAGCTTTAAGTTTTCACTTCATGGCGGACTCCCATCCTAAGCGAGCATAAAGGCGACAGCGGAAAGGAAAATCTCCCTCATGAGGAAGAAACCTCCAGCAAAACCAGGCTCAGGACAATAGCTCTGCCCTACTGTACACATTCATCTGTGTACTTGGTTTAAAACAGGTCCCTCTTGTAAAGGGCTCCTCGTGATTCAGTGAAACTAACTTGTATAAATAAAGGATGAATTAATACAAATTCACACAAAGATCTTCAGTTATAATTTTCTTTTGTCTTTAAACATCTAGTAAACCGTAAAGTATGTACACAAGTTGTAATATGTAATTTGTTAATGTAGTCATAATAAAACAAAACTGTTTCAGATATTAGATATATGGCAGCTGTACAGATTGTTTACTTGAACATTATATTTAAAGCATTATTCATCCATCCATTATCTTTTACCAGCTTCTTCCTTTTCGGGTCGCGGGGGTCACTGTGCAAGAGGCGGGGGACACCCTGGACAGGTCTCCAGTCCATCACATGGACACATGACACAAACAACCATTCACTCACTCTCACCTAGGGACAATTTAGAGTTACCAGTCAGCCTAACATGTATGTTTTAGTCTGTGGGAGGAAACCGGAGTACCTGGTGAAAACTCACACATACACGGAGAGAACGTGCAAACTCCACCCAGAAAGGCCCCCAGCTGAGATTTGAACCAGCGACCTGCTTGCTGAAAGGCGGCAGCTCTATCAACTGCGCCACCGTGCCGCCCTGTTTTTAAATCCAATATTGTCAATTTCCTCCCACGCAAACGAAGATGCCGCTTCCTACCAACAACTGCCGGTGGGTTGATATTGTTGCTGTGATGGTTGTCCTTCGTGAGACTCCCTCGGAGTTTCACGCCAAGACATGAGGCAGAGCTTAGTTTACTCACTACTCGGTGGAGTCCAGGAGCTGGTACTCGCAGCGACGGGCGTAACAGATCCGCATCCCCGAGTCCGCCCACAGGTGGCGGATTGCGTTGACGTGTCTCTGCTCCAGCTGGGTGACGTGCACTGTGTTGACATCCTGCAGTAGTTTAGCATGTGACTGTAAGAGAGAGAGAGAGAGAGAGAGACATTTTTCATGGGGAACAAAAAAAAACACTGTTGAACTGTAGGAAACGCACAATAACACACTTCTTGTGTGTCCTCTACCCTTTGCCTTGGTAAGTGGTTACCATGCAGTGTGTTCATGTCTGTTTAATGCCACCGTTCAGTGAAGGTTTATTCTAATAAATGTTATAGTTGACATATGCGTTTGAGTATTTGTTTGTGTTCGTGCAGATCCAGGTTTATGTGCGGGATTAGTGAGTCCACCTCATTCTCTGGGTTGGCGTAGGGGATTCCGAGCATGCTCATGGCTCCGGTCATGGCTTTGATGGCAGTGAAGATGTTCTGGAAGATACATTTGGCGAAGGCCTTCCTCTCCTCCTCCGAGAAGCCCCGGCCATGAATGATTCTCAACTGTCGGATGAAGGTAGTTTTCCCACTCTCCCCAGTTCCTGAGGAAGAAATAGTCAACAAAAGGAAAAATGACCAAAAATACATAAACAATTCAATGTTTCCTTATTGATCTCACTATAATTGGTTTTGCGTTTTCTGAGGATTGAATTATATAGAAGTGTTAATATATAAATACGCTGATCTGAAAAAAGACAGATTAAAAGCCCGAGGTTCAACAAGTAAAAAGACGCTGTATGTTCCCCTGCAGTGGTCCTGACCCCCAGCCCCTCCTCAGAAATGTAAAACCTTTCAGTCTTACAAACTGAAGCAGTCAGGTAGTCTGTAAACTTTGATGGTTGCCAAAGTTTTACTGTTTCTGGAGCTTTTCAAGACTTTCAGTGGGTCTGAACAGTCCTTACTAGATTACTTGGGGGGCATGAAGCTGTCTTTTCATGATATTCATGTGAATTATCAGGACAATAAGCCTAAAGACACTGGGGCAGAGAGATTATCAGACCCAGGCATCTTTCACAGCATGAACCTTGTCCTGAGGTGAGGAGAAGTAAGAGTCCTGCACATGGCAGACCTTCAAGACCCTGGGACTAACAACATTTAGGCCAGGAGTCTGAACCTCTGCGTTAAAAAGAGCCATTTTTGCCACTTTGCTTACTAGTTACGATGTCCGGAGCTGCAAAACCTGCTACATGTGTACTGTCAACTGGTGGCCCCTGGACCATTACAAGTTTGTTGGAGATGGCTTTTCTGGCCAGTGGGGGTGATATTATAAAATTAAAAATGTCTCACTTTTGTTAACATTTATTGATTTTTTTATATTTTAATACAAAAGAAAAAATCAGATTCATGTAAAGAAAGAAAAAAATATATATAATTTTGATCAATTTTACAAACATTAACACACTGAACTCTGCATGCGAGTTCTCTTAATTGATGAAGACTTAAGTATCTTACTTAAAGCATAAAGTTAAAAGACGGAGTGAAATTAGGCCAGTTTGTTGGATATCCAGTTACATTTTAAAAATAACATTTTAAAATAGATACTTTCATTTACTTTGACTTTTTTGTGCGTTTTATTCTTAGTGTCATCAAATATTCCTTCCCAGCAGCTTGTCTTAAAGATATTCCAAAATACTCTGGTGGTTTTCAGAGAACGATCACGCTGAGAGACTGGAAGTCGACTTGAAGTGGCTAACAACCACTAGCATGAAGTAGTCCGCATGTTTCATGCCTTGTATTTGTACAATCATTCACATAATTTGAAAAGGACAGGACATCTGAAAAAAAAAAAAAAAAAAAAAAAGCCATTTTCATTGTTGGTAATAATTTAAACAAATTTCAGTTTTATTTTAGTTTTGGTCAAAACCTGAAAGAGCCGCTGCAGAGGGACCAAAGAGCCACATGTGGCTCCAGAGCCGCAGCTTGCAGACCCCTGGTTTAGACCTTGAGTCTCTCCAGCTGATGGTAATCTCTCTCCATCAGAGAAAGACTGCCAGTCAGAACAGAGGGTTTCACAGATTCCTGATGTTGGAGGATGCTGGATGTCAGGTTGAGCTCACTGAGGGTGAATTTACAGAGAAGAGACATGGAAGCTGTGGAGTGTCTCATATCGATGTACTGTAGCTGAGCATTTTCTTTAGTTGAAGCTGAATTTGTTCACTGTATTGGTTCAGTCCACGTTTCTTTCATCTAAAGCACCTCGCCATCATCCTGTTGGTCACAGGTTGCTGCTGAACATTTATCAATGCAGGTGTTCATAGAGGAAGAGGAGAGAAGCTGGGCGCACTTATCGTTTTACATAGAATAGGACGTGGTGAGGTTATTTTATTTTATATTTGACAAGTTAATTATCCGACCTGAGGAGAGACACTTTCACCTCAGTCCATCTTCATTTAGCTGATCGAGACGTATTCTGGATTTTTTTGTTTTTCTTTGCATAAAATATATAAAGAACCAGAGCTGGTAAAGAGAGGATCAAAGAACAAACAGACTACTTTAACATTACAAGACGTACTTATTTATGCATGTTGTTTAAGAAAAAAAAAAAGTGCAAATAAATCCAGTAAATGACAGAGCTAATTACTGCTCTGAAAGTTTCACATTTTGTCATTTCTTTTTTTCAATCCCAAATGTTGAAGTTCACAGGACATGAAGTTTAAGTTAAACTAAAATAAAAAAGTGGATTTTTATTAATCCAAGTCAACACAACACTTGACATTTTTACATCCCATTTGTTTCAGTCTTTTTGTGCTACACATCTGTATTTCATGTTCCAACGAACTCTGATATGTTGCATTTACTCTCCATCAGTTCACAATCAAAGCCTTGTTAGCGAGATAATTTTATGTTTATTGAAGAGGAAGGTTTAAAACTCAAATAATGAGGAGAAAACTAAAAGTAAGACTATTTCACTGTATCAAGCAGCCTCTTGCAGGAGGAAATAAAGTGCCTTTTTGCAACACTTTGCTGGAATTTTCTAACACCGCTTTCCAAAAAGACCATATGATTGTCAAACAAGGATGTTGTATGTTTGATAGACGGTCTTTGCCTTGTACAAACATTTGTTCTGCGTCACTTTACGCAGCAATGCGGACAATAACACAGGAAAATATTAAAGTGTTATTGTTTATGGGACATTTGTATCATGTCAGGGTTTCCCCTAATCCTGATTCACTCCATAGTGTCTTATTATGTGTTTAGTTTGCTGATACGGGACTCGATTACAACCCAGAGTAATTTAAAAATACTAATAAAACAAAAATATTGAATATTCAGTTAAAAGAGTACAAAAACAACTGATCAGGCATTGAATCTGAGAAATGTTGCTGCTTCTATTAATGTGAGTTAAATGCCAGTAAAATATTACAAGTTGGGGCATTTATGCCAAGTATTTTGTTTTTCTTTTTTAATGGCAAAAACGGAAAACGATTGCTTGTCTCTTACTCATATAAAAACCTTTAACGTTGGTAATATTAGGAGATTAAAAATCAGTAATCATGGGATTAGGACAGTCTCCCCCGGTTTTATTAACGAGGATCATCCACAAATGAGCACAGAGTTTATTAAAAGACAGGCACATCTGTGGGCAGCACAGTGTTATTCTTTGTCAATGCAATTCCTGCAACATGGGTGCCTATCACAGCAGGTGCACCAATTTCTGTACAACACCAGCAACCCCAAAGGAAGTCGAGCGCAAATTTATGCAAACTTCTTAAAAAGTCATGTTGGATTTACCACGGAGAAAAGGTAAGACTTTATTATTTAATTTTTAGAGGCTTATACTGCATGTCCAAGTGGTGCCACAGAAAACGTTACTAATAGTAAGAAACAATGAGCAACATAAATATACTAAAATACTAAAACTGAAATTATTGCAAGCTTTTCATAAACTAAAAAACATGAATGAGAACGTTTGTTGATCAGCATGAAGCCCAAGGACTAAAATCACAAGAAACTAGTGTTTTAATTGCACGTCTCCAAAAGGCAAGAGGCGATAATGTTTTTGCCTCTGTGCCTGCATGAGAGAGAGAGAGAGAGAGAGAGAGAGAGAGAGAGAGAGCAGTAGTCCCTCGCTACTTCACAGTTCGACTTTCGCGGACTTGCTCTATCACGGTTTTTCAAAGTAAGATTGAACACGAGAAAAAAAAATGTACAGGAGATGATTGTCAACTTTAATATTACTCACGTGATTGGGACAGTACTGGATACAGTACTGTACAGTAAAACGTTAATGAAAAAATAAAATACTTTGGACAGGCGCCGCCATTTTGTAGTTTTCTCTCAATAAGCCTACACTGTATCCCCGCTCATAATAACTACATTTCCCAGAAGTCAACAGTGCCCCGCCCAGAAGCCTCGTTTCCTTCTGCTGGAATACCACAGGGAAAGTTTGGATCTGATCGGAAAAACTTTGGCCCTTATCACAGTGACTTAGGCGTCCAGCAGACGCAGAGAAGCCGCAAGGAACCCACCGAACCGGACCAAAACCGGAGCAGAACCAGACCTCCAGACTCATCTGTGAATCTTGAGAGCTGGTAGCCAGCCCACAAGGACTTCTGAGTGGGGAGTGGGGATGCGCGGGTGAGTAAAATTTAGTAGCTACATATAAGTATGATGTTGAAATGATGTAAATTTAAGATTTTAGAACATTGATTGGGGACTTTGTTGCTGCAGGTTACATCTGCAGAAACAAACCGAGCCGGACCAGAACCGAGAGCTTCTGCTGTTCTGCAGAGCTAGTAAGTAAAAATTAGTAGATACACATAAGAATGATGTAGGTTTAAGTGTTTAGAACATTGCAAGAGTGTGGGAAGGGTTTCTAAAGCCTTAAAATATAAATAAATATTAAAATAAAACATAACGTCGCTACTTCACAGATTTTCACTTATTGCGGGGGGGGGGGGGGGGGGGGGGTCGGGAAATACCCCCCGCAATAAACGAGGAACTACTGTAATCAATAATTTGTAGAGTTATCAAAGTATCTCAGTAACCAGTGGACAGATCTTACTGAAAGTGGTAAAACAGAATCAGTAAATGTGCATTTACATCTGATTAACTTTTGAAGTTAATCCCATTCAACATGGCCGCCGCACCCAACTAAACTTGGAAAACTCTAATGGCTAAACCTCGGCCGTTTTTACAGTCAATAAGCTAAATTTTGGTCTGGTCGTAACTGACCATCATCCCCAACTCATATTTCCAGCACAAAACATTTAAGCATTTAATTTTTGCTTGGTGTCTGTTAGCAAAATATCTCATGAAGCACAGGGCAGATTTTAAATAAACCTGAAAGTAATCATTAGTGTACATAGAAAAGTAGTTGTCTCTTGGAGTCGACCCAATTCAAGATGGCTGCCACAACCAGTCAACCTTTTAGCTCAGTCAGTTTCACTGACAATGAGCCAGCTGATGTTTGAATAGCGCTGAGTCATTCTGAACACGTTCTCCGAGCATTAGCACCCCGTACAGGATCTCACTAGATCTCATGACGCTGCAAAATGTCACTTAACGAGACAAGGCACCAAGCTTGTCCTTTCCCATTTAAGACTATCTTTAAATGTAATTTTCAGACATGATATATGTTGAATTATATGTATTCCTTTCACAAATAGTTTTTTTTTTTTTAATCTAAAAACTGTTCTATTTATGATCTGAAAGCAAACGAGCTTCACATATTAGCCAACAGCTGACCCCCTGACACTGCAACAAAACAAACACACAAACAAGCAAATAAATAAACAATCAATCAACTTTTAATTGATACTGACAAATAAATAGATATCAACCAAGGCATTCCTAGTAATGATGTTGAACAAAAATGATATTCAATAATAATAATAATAACAATAAGTGCTATGTGTTGTCATCATTGTATGTTTCTATACAATGAAAAAACGAGTTCTCTGCATTTAACCCATCACACCTGAGAGACACCCAGGTGGAGAGTGGGCAGCTATGTAAGCGTCTGGGGAGCAATTAGGGATTGGGTGTCTTGCTCAAGGACACCACGGCATATAGGCAATGCGGGGAGTTGAACTTGCGATTTTCTGGTCCCAAATAGGCTGCCCTACCTCTACCCCATCTCGCATTTGACGCAGATGACGCCAGGTACCGACATTATGTTGATTTTTTTTTTTTTTTTTTTACTAAAGAAAAGAGCACTCATAATTATTCACAAGGAGCAAATGTGGGTCCAAAATTTCCAGTTTATCAACAGACGTGGGAATAAATGATTCCAAACCAGATTTCCCAGTGGAAAAACCGAGCTGGATCTGCGCAGTTCTCCCTCGACGACGCGTAGCAAAAATAAAAAGCATCTATATTTGATCTTTAATGCCTGCTCGGTTTTTACTCAGATTTATCGGAGTTGAATAAAGCGCCAGGGTGAAATCAGTGCCGGTGATGCAGCAGTTGTTAGACCTGCTCTGTGTGTGACTCAGTGTGCGTGCGTGCGTGCGTGCGTGCGTGCGTGCGTGCGTGCGTGCGTG